AAGATCTGAAGATTAGATAGCTGACTCATAACTTTAAGCATGAGAGAAAAATAAATGTAAATGCGAACTATTTGAATGAATGGTTCTATGATGCAGCTATTTCGGTTTTTCCAACAGTGGCTACAAACTCAGCACATAAGTTTAGTTGGAGTATCCTTCTCTGAAATGGATAGTCTTACAGGGCCGAACGAGTTCCATCTGCCAGGATTTGGGATCAGAGTTGTTTTTTCTCTGAGGATGGTTGTCAAGAAGCTAACCAGCCCATCCCGCTGTGGACACACTTTGTCTGATCCTTCATTTAACATGTGGCTGGCGTGGGAAGCCCTACGAAGGCTTTTTCAACTACCGCATAATTCGAAACCTCATAAGGATATTCAAGCTTCTTCCCCACAACAAGGATGTCATTGGAGATTTTGGTGAGAAAGCAATGCAAAACCATTTACCCATCTAAAGACTATACCAAAATCCATGATAGTGTGCTCGATGCAAGTAGCACCCATTTACTAGTAAAAAGGTGGATAACCAGTGTGAAAGTGTACGATATATAAATTAAGCCAGGTATACATGACTGCAAAGATGGTTTATATATATTGTATGACATTAGCATTAGCATGCGCTCATTCGTTATAACCTGGGTCTGCCAATCCTCAACGAGAAGATATGTTACTGCCATCTCCTTGTAACCGATCTGTCGATTGATTTCATAAGCTTTAATTATCATTCCACCTTCAAATAATTGAAATTTTGTCTATTACCTGTCTGAAGAACAAGACATTTCGAGGTTGTTCGATCCACCAGCGGATATAACAGTATTTGCTCGCTTCTTCTGAAATCCAAAAAGGAGTCATTGGAATGGCAATGATAATAGCTACCGTAATGTGTGATCCTCAAAAGCCTGTTTTTACAAAAAAAAAAACGAGGAATGTCCCAGTGAAAGAGAATTAGCATCATTGCTATCAACATGTAGTGGTTATAAATTCACAAAAAATGAACTTACTCCGTGATATGCAAACGTTTTGACCAATGTCATGAAGTTGACGCATACTGTTGACATTACCACTATCACTGTTAATGAAGTTTTTAACAATCATTCAAGTCAAACTTCAGGAATCTCGTTTTAGGACATTATTTTAGGGCATTCATCATTACAGCATCACTCGGCAGATTTTTTCTAACATCCATAAATATTTATTTCATATAAAAAATTACGGCATCTTAACATTCGTAATTTATTTTCATGTAAAAAGAAGTTGTTAGAATAAAAAAATTCTTTAAAGGCGATTATTGATTTATTGTCGAAGAGTTCTCACACCTATTCATTTCTCTAAGTTATGAGCAAAATTTAGCTAAACATTCATTAATTTTCATCATCTCGAATTAGTTTCATCGGTCTTGTAGAATTTATGTAAATTTTTCAAGTGGTTATATCGATTATAAGGAAGTGGCAATAAAATAACATCAATAAGTTATTAATATTTGATGCTTAATAATTTTTGTCAGAGTTACTTTCCATTATGATAACTTTGCCGTATAAATGTGCCAGGCTTATAGTAATTCCAAGTGCTCACGATTTCAATGATTAAAGCCTTAGATTCTGACCATAACTGATTATATCTTGTTGCATATACGAAAGTACAAAATGAATAACGGAGACAAAGAAGTGCACAAAAAGCGATCCGCAAAAATATTTATCGATCGCATGAAAAATAGTGCCGGTAACGATAGTTTTGGAAATTTTCCAAAAGACCAATTTTTTAAAACAAATGGGGAGAAACTTTAGGAATGAAAGAGAAGAATATTTAACAAGTAAACGTAACTACCTAAGGCAATAAGACACCATGTAGAGACTGTAAACAAGCTTCCAAGTTGCATATCATAAAACTACTACATAAAACTCCAAACCGTTACAGAAACGTGACCTAGTACTGTGACATACAGTGACATGCCGTCGCTGACCAATCAAAAGATTGCTACCTACGATGCATTCGGTGTAAAGGTGTGAAATTGACTGCCTTTACATGGTTCTAGAATAAAATATACAAGTTGCATAGAACAAGACTGTAATCCGTGGTTTTGACTTCCACCCTCATGATTCTAAGACAATATTTCAACTGAATATCATATTCGTCGAAAATGTTTACACTTTTCACAATGTTTGCCAGAAGGCAGATTACCATTGCATCATTCCAGATTCTCATCTCCCATCTTATCATTTAAACTAATTAATTAATCAGCCCAACAAAACACCAACCGGAGCAATACATATCATTGCAATATCGTCTTATTGTTTGCAGGCAGTATTGCACACTTGAACAAAGTGATCAGAAATGGAATCATTAGTTTTAAGAATTAAGTCAAATTCCATTATTTAATCTTTCCCAACAGGCATAATGATTCGACAGATGCTACTGAAGAAGCAAAAATAGGGTAAACGAAGCTAGCAGGTAGATGACAAAGGATAAGTGCAAAGGTGTATTGTTACCACTCATTTTCACAGGGAGAGCATCTTTTAAGTAATAAATGCGGAAATGAATTTCAGGAAATTGGAAAATTTCTGTCTGTGGTGGATTTTTTCTGAATCGTGGAGTGTGATGTCGATCAATAGCCGAATATCACCAGTGTTGTCGACAGGCTTTCTAAGATCCGCTGGGCTGATTTGAATTGGGTTGAGTTGAGTTGGGTTAGGCTGAGTTGCGTTAATTTGGGTTGCGAGAAGCTGAGTTGAGTTGATTTGGGTTGCGCTGAGGGAATTGAAGTGAGGTGTATTGAGTCTACCCGGATTGTAAAGCCTTTATTGACCATAATGATCTAACTGATTTACAATAGGGTTTATATGCATTAGAGAGTGGGAGTGGTTTAAATCGTTAAAAAAGGATGTTCATTTAGATACAAAGGAAACTGTAAGGATCCAATTACATAATAAGCATTGTAACAAGAACAGAGGGAAAAGATTAGCATGCAAATTGGACATTCTTTGTCATTAAAATAAAGATGCGAATTTTCGTTCGAAAAAGGTAACAAAAGAAACGTATGGGAGATAATTTTAAAGAATGTAAATTGGTTAAATGATTTACACTATTGTTAACATTTATTTATAACAAGAAATTTATTTGATTACTTATTTGTTTGTTTGGGGTATGGTTGGAGTCTCGCGAATCGGAATTCGCGACACTGTCCCTACATCAGAAAAACATTGGGTGCTTTGTAAAAAAGCAACATTTCTATGAAAATCTGTTTATAGTTCTGTTTTTTTATAGTTCGATGTATAAAGCAAAATCAGTTATTTTAATTCACATGATTTTTCAAAATATAATATTTGTGTCAGTTATTAACAAAACCGAAAAATAGCAGGTAAATATACAGGATCTTTCAAGTATGTGAACTCAAATTTGCACCGTCGCATAAAACAATCGGATTAATTTCAAAAAGATTTCAACCGGGAAAAGAAATGTGCCACTGCATATGGGAATAATCAACCCATAATATAAAAATGCAAAAAAAATGTTCACTTCACTGCTCCGTTTGAAACACATTCAAGTTTACATTGGGTGCTATTGATGTTCCACCGAAATTTGTTTTGCTGATTAGCTTTCGGTGGAAAACCAGAAAGATTAATCTGAAAGACGAACAATATCCTTCAAGTGACTTTTGAAGATAATGATACTGAAGTTCAGTGATATATGAAGGCATGCCTTCTGGTATGTTGCAAATTAACCGGCCGGTAAATCCATGAAATAAAACGTTCTAAGATACGATTCCAGTAGAAACTTACCCATCCAAGGAATGTGTTCCAAGCAATGCAATCGTGCTTGATATAAATAGTATCCATTTATCGGTGGTGAAATATGAAGGAACATTGAATGTAATACAGCACAAGATGTAAATCAAGCCAAGTTTGCATGACTGTAAAGATGACAACAACGTAATTTATAGTAACATAATCTGACATGAATTAACTATTACGCGTCATCAGAATTTGATCTTCACGAAACTCTTGCAACCCTCGAAAGAACATATTTGTAGGCAGAAAGTATATCAAATCATTTTGACAAATCTAATATTCTTTCGAGCTTCTCTCCTGCATCTTCATAAGTTCTTTTTTCTCAAAAATATTTGAGTTTCTCTTTATTACCTGTTTGAAGAACAATACTTCTCCTTCGTTAATAGCACTACCAGTTGACACTGTTAGCATTGTCTGAAATCCAGGAAATAATCATTGCAATATTAATGTACATGCTGGATTTGAACGAAAGAAATATGCATCAGGCATTATACTGCTAACACAAATTGCAATAAGTTACCAGAACATTCGCTTGTCAGAAGTAAACTTACTCTACGGTATGCAAGTATTTTGACTAAAGTAATGAAATCGATGAATGTCATTGCTACTACCAAAACTATTGATACTATAGCATCAATTCTGGCACATATTTGACCGTGGAATGAGGTATGATGCAACCAACGATACATCGAACCATAATTAAATAGATATGAACAGTTTTCTGCAAACAATTTCCATAAGAAAAGGACCGATTTCTGCATGCTGCAAATTCCGCGTGAACATTTTCTTCTCATAAGCAAAAGATATCATCAGACCGTTTGGTGTTGAATAAGGTATGCAGGTTCTTCACAGACTTACTGTATAAGTGATGAGTGCAATAAACCATTGAAAATGACCAAGAGATGATTATAATTTTGAAAGTCTTGGAGTGCGACCATAATTGATTATATTTTATCGCACAAACAAAAGCATAAAATCTATTGAGGGCTATGAGAAAGTGCATAACAAGTGCTCCAAACCATCCTCCGTTCAAAAAAACGCCAACCAATCGTACGGAAAACAGTTTCGGTGATGATAGTATTGGAGATTTGCTGGAATTTTTTCAAATAAAACATGAAATGAAAGAAGAGTTTTGGAAAAAATGAAAAAGTGAAAAACGGAAATTGCATTGTAATGTAAATGGAACTTACAAGCTCAGGACAATGGTACACCATGTAAGAAGAACAAATATAGCTTGCAAATTACATATCAGAAAGCTACTGCATAAAATTCCAAACGCATTACGAAATCGTGACTTCGTACGTGTTAAGTACAAAGATAAACCATTGCTGATCAGCCCAAAAACTGCTATCTATGATACATTCGTTGTTAAGATATGAAATCGATCGACTTGACTGTTTATGAATACAGTAAGAAAGTTGTATGCAAGTAAATATCAGTAAGATTGTAATTTTTGGAATCTCATTTTCACACCTACAATCCTCAGTAAGACGAAACCAAATATCAGAATCTTCAACATTTGTTGAAAATATTTGTATCCTTTACAGTACCTACTAGAAGAAAGATATATGCAATTCCTTTTTATCATCTTAGTTTCCCACCTGTCTGTTACCTTATTAATATTTGAACCGACTTTGCTAATCATTTACTTATTTGATGAAGTACTAACCATAAAGATGCAGGCCATTACAATATTGTCTTCAAACTCACTGTTTTCAGGCATTTCGGTGCACTTGTAAAAATCTATCAAAAACACTGTTAGTTTTAGGGATTAAATAGAATTCGATAGAAATGTGGAATGGTCCGACAATTGTTATTAAGCAATATGTGAAAAATGGATATGTGCAAAGGTATATTATTATCACTTATTTTCATTAGCACGAGCATTTTTTCAAGTATTGAATTTGAAATTGAATGTAAGGAAACTGGGAAATTCCCATCCTTACATCAGAAAAGCATTTGGCACATTGTAAACAAGGGATGTTTTTATGAAGACATGTTTATAATTCTAATTTAGTAATATCCGACTGAATATTTGGAGCACTTGCGATACAAAATATGCAAAAACATTGGGATATATGCAACAGGTATTAATGAAGGTCTAAAACGAAACAACTATTTTGCTGGCTGTTTTAATCTCAAAATTTCATTGCACTATCAAATATTCATTATATTTTGCTATATTACTGTTATTAATGCTTCTAAGAAATGTTTGCATTTCACTCAGTTGAAATTTTTGTCCAAATTTTAACGAAGAGGAAGATTGCAATATTCATAAGATTTCTGATTTTTAATTTCAGTTAACGAACATTTTAAAACATAGAATTGACGTAAATTTATTCCAGAGTATTGTTTCAAGACAGCACTTTTCCTATCTAATTTGGAGATTACTCAATAATTATCTGAAATCTAACACAGTTTTCTCAACAACGGACGGGTAAATTAGCAATAAGGAAAAGAAGCTTTAAGAACGAGGAAAAAGTTAGTCTTATTTTTGGAGTTTTAAACCTCTCGGCTCTGTTACATTATTAAATCATGATATTAAAAAGTTGATCTTCGATATTAAATTTCGTTCACGTGAGACTTGAATTTTCATTATTTTGACTTTTTAGTATGCTTTCTATTAATTTGCAAAATTATGTTTCAATATCAAATTTTATTCTATCCTTTGCAAAATTATGCTCCGTTTCAATTCTCAAAAGGTACAATGTCAGAAGGTAATAATGCTACACTACATTTTTGCAAGGGATTGTGGAGAGCATATATATGACAAATATATGACACGAAAATATTCTGAAAAAAACATACAATATTCACTAACGTACGATGTTTAACACTAATGTTTAACAAGGATAGAGGCATAAGTAGCGGTCGGAAAAATTAATTTTGTTCACTTCATTTGTGTATAACATAGGTTTACTTGGGATTTAATATTTTACTCGTGCAATATTACTAGTTAAACAACAGCAAAAATAAAATATTTAAAATATATAGTATGCGGTAAATTGGTAAATAGTGACGAATTATATAATAAATATGCTGTGTAATTAACTAACAAATTTATTTCTTGTCGTTCCCTTGGATAATAATTGACTGTAAGTTTATTGATAAGTTGCGTAATGATTAAGATATGAGTTGAGTTCATCCTTCATTGAGCTTGGGATATGCTACACAGGAAATGTATTTAGCGAAATTATAGTTTGTTGTCCAATGGTAGCAGATATATGCAAAAAGGCGTAGTGATTGATCTACCTAATTGTAAAAAATGTATAGGTATTTTTTTTTTCGTATATATATACTAAGGATTAGGTAAGAGTTTTTTGTAAGCTCCATCGAGGTTATCATGAAAATATGGCTGCTCCCTTGGATATTGTGCAGTTCATTGTGCAGCCACGAATAGATACTGAGATATCTTTGTGATTTTCCCACTATTGTTAGCTTTTATCCTTCTTATTGCTTCAACTTACAGAATTTCATTATCCGATCTGATAGATATTATAGAAGTTTTATTTGAATATAACTTCATTTCCAATAATCTGATATTTTCCCGTTCGGGTAAATCTTCAGTTACAACTCCTCCTTTCAAATCATCCATTGCTGTTTGAATTTGTATTGAATGCATCAAAAGAATTGATACAATCGATTCTTATCTTTTTCGTTTGAAAGCTATCTCTTTTTAAGCTTCATTCCTTTCATAGTAATTATTCTGCATCACTTACCCTAATAAAGTTTGCCTAATATTATTTCTGATCCCATCGAACTAGCACTCATAGCATAACTTGATGCATTGATGGGAGATATGAAATCATTATAGTAGAATAATAAGCAGGCTCCAAGGAATATTTAATTAAAGTATAAATTAAAGTAAGCTTAATGAGAACTGCATCAAGCTAATCCAGCAAACCCTTCATTCCAAACAGTTGAGAAGTCTCAACAATGAACCCGATGACCCGAATAACTTTCTGAACATATTGAAGACAGTATCATTTGCCTAAAATGTTCCTTGCTTACAATGTCTAATGTTGCTTATATAAAAGCAGAAATTTTATAGCCCCCCAAATTAAATTTTAAATATAAGAAAATGACTTCAAAGATGAAAGTCACCGATAATAATGAACCTTCCCATTTTGATGTAATGAAGCTCTGTTACCTGACGTCACTCATTCTGGCTCTGTGTTCTTCAGCAACACCTGTTAGAATATTACATTCAGCAGAAAAGGTTTAATCCAACCATTAAACTTGACCCAGTCTTTAAAACTAGTCTTTGGCTAACTTCTTCAAATGCACCATAATGTCCGGAAACAATAACTGTGAAAACCAACGTCGGCATTACCAGTGGTCGGTACCTGTTTTTAAGCGTAAGATTTTCCTGTCGTAAGATTTTCCTGAAGATATCCCATTACAATTTCTTTACAAAACTTTCAAATCCAGGAAAACCTCGAGATGTGAACAGAGTAAGTTTGACAATGAATTATACATCCAACACGTTCAAATCTACCACCAGGAAAATGTCAAGAGGAAAATAACTTTGTCAAAAAACATTTATGCATAAAACAAATACTACTTCAAATGATGATTATTAATCAATCCACCATATAAAGATCGAAAATAAATATTCACTTCACTACCATGAATCACTTTGTATCCAATTTAAGTGTCTTACAGGTATTACTGTCGATGTACTGAAACTTGTCTTGCAGATAATTTTACGATTGAAAATCAGAAAGGCCAATCTGAAAACCGCACACATATCTTTTGATTGACCATTTAAATATATAAACATAATTTTGATAAATTAAATTGAAAATGCTTCCAAAACTTAATTGCTGTTAAAAGTGTTAAAATAGGTAAAGAATTGCTGGGAATATTTAAAATAGAATAATAAGACAGCCAATAGGTGTGAACATATGCCATAAAAGCAATTAATTCCTGAAATTGCATTAGTAAATGTGAATATTCTAACCTTGCTATTGCAGTGAAAAAAAAAAGTGACATAACATTGCTTACCCGTCTAAAGATTGTGTCAGAATCCATGTTATCGTACTGGAAGCAAACAGAAACCATTTATCGACAGACAAATATTGAGCAGTATTGAACACCACAGAGCACGAGATATATAGTAAGCCAAGTATGCAGGACTATAAAATTAATCTCATAATACTTGGACAGCTATCAATCTTCAGAAGAATATATTGTTAAGAGATACAAAGGTTACAACGATCGATTGTAGAAATTCTCATCATCATTCGACATTCTCTATTGTTCTTTTTTAAAGCTCATTTTCTCGGTAACACTTTGAATTCTTGTTTAATACCTGCTTAAAGAATAATATCTCCCTTTCGTTAATGGAATCACTAGTTGACAATGTCGTATTTCTTCGCACTGCCTGAAATCCAAGAAATCAGAATTTGAAATGATTGGAAACTAACCTAACTAATTATCCTAACTCATGAAATATTACTCTATTGTGAATATTAATATTTAATAAATTCACTAATACAATCATTTATGAGAAATAAACTCACTTTACGATATGCAATTATTTTGATTAATGTAACGAAATCGATGCATGCCATTCCTGTTACTATTCCTATTGTTGCGACAATATCAGCGTAGGAACATATTTTACCGTGGAAAGAATTTTGATAGGAAAAGACATAATTTGACTTTTCATTAAATACAAATGAACATTCTTCTGCAAACAAGATTACTCCTTTTTAAAAACAAGTGTAAATTAGGGAAATAATACGTATGAAAAAATATCCCGACATCATTTTTTGATATTCTGATAAATGGTTTAAATTTGCAAAATAATTATCCCTTCCTGTTCGTGATCGGAATCACAATGACATTTTGCAGATCAAGATTATGACAAAATTTTGGTGTCAAAAGATAATCATCATTAGATGATGCGGACTTTAATAATCAATTTCTTTTTACGAAAATAACATTGTAGAGATAGTTTGAAATCTGAAAATGTTAAATAGTTTTTTGTCATAACTATTTACCATATAGGTGTTGAATGGAGAAAAGCAATCCAAATATCCATGAACAAATTCCAATGGATAAAGCTATGAATGCTGACCATAACTGATTATATTTTATTGCATATACAAAAGCACAAAATCTATTAACAGCGATGAAAAAATGTACTAAAATCGATCCAAACCATGCTCCATTTACTAAAAGTCCAACAAATCGTGCGAGAAACAATTCCGGTGATGATAGTATTGGAGATTTGCTAAAATTAAATTTTTCAAATAAAACATGAAAGAAATTTGGGCTGAATAAATGAAGAAGTAAGAAAGGAAAATTTTACTATAATGTAAATGAAACTTACAAGCTCAGGACAATGGTACACCATGTAAGAAGAACAAATATAGCTTGCAAATTACATATCAGAAAGCTACTGCATAAAATTCCAAACGCATTACGAAATCGTGACTTCGTACGTGTTAAGTACAAAGATAAACCATTGCTGATCAGCCCAAAAACTCCTATCTATGATAAATAGATTCGTTGTTAAAACATCAAAACCGATCAACTTTATAAATACAACTCTTTATTAATACAAAAAAAAGAGAAAAAAAAGTTGTATGGAAGCAGATAGCAATAGAACTGTAATTTTTGGAATCTAATTTTCACACTTAGAATCTGTACATAAGATTTCTATGGATTAAAATATCAATATCTTTAATATTTGTAGAAAATAGTTTCTTCAATGTTGGAAGGAAGACCTACACTAAATGCTTTTTATCATCCTAATTTTTCATCTATTCGCTATCTTATTATCATTTAAACCAAAATACTAACCACGATGATACAGGCCATCGCAATGTCATCTTCAAAATTACTGTTTTTGGGCATTACGATTCACACTTTAAGAAATCTATCAAAAATACTATTAGTTCAAATATTATAATTCAAAAGTTATTTTCATCACGTATAATGTTTTAACAAATATTACTAAACAACACATGGAATCAAAAAGCAGATAACAAAAGGCAAACACAAAGATACAATTATCTCATATACTTATTGGAATTAAATTATTGAATTTGTAAAGAGAAGATATTGAAAATTTGTGCATAATGGAAAATTTTAGGAAGCAATATCAAAATGAATTGTGAAAACATAACCAAAATCCAAATACTAGTGGATTTCCGTAACTTATGGAAGTACTGATTCCATAAGATTAGTACCATCCTTTGGTTTCGTCCCACCTTGTATTCTACCAAAGCGCTTATAGCTTGTGCAAACTTCCCAAATTTTAAGCAGCCATTAATAGGTTTCCAATACTGTACCATGTGGATTTTACGAAATAACAATGTCAAAGATTTATTCCCATGTTAATGAACTCTTTTCTGTTCCTAAATACTGCCAAACTGTCATTTTTGAGTGGACTTTTTGATTGTATTAGATAATTTTGATAACGATTACATTAGACAATTCCATCGTATTAAATAATTATATTAGGAAGTTTGAGTTCCGAAAACTTGCACAACATGAAATGGATTTTTATCCTGCGCACGTCGTTTTCTAGGTAGTCGATAACATTAATGCTTAATTCAGGAAATTTGTTAATCCATAAGAAAAATATAAGCTGGCTAGATTATTTCCCTTTCTCGTTAGAATAATATTCTCGGGAAAAGCGTGACGATTGTCTGCGAGAAATCACCAACCGCAAACCGTTAATTCCGATCAAATCTATTTCAATATTTTTGCAGATGCTCAGTTCTCGATTTCTGATTCCGAATACCTTTTTCTTTCAATTGAAAGCCTCGTATTTTTTTTTGCCGGATTGCTTCATTATGGTATTTCCCACGTCTCTTCCCTCCGTTATAAGCTATTAATTATATGTTTTACAGTACCTTTCGAAATTCTAAATCGGGAAAAAAAGTTGTGCAGAGCTGCAGGTATAAAAATTCAAATATTGCAGGAAACCTTAACGAGCTAACTTGTTTGTCGACCCAACACATATTATTATGTGACAGCTAATGTTTATCACATAAATTAATGAACCAATCAGTGTGACGAACTATCATATGAATAAAGCATATAATTTCATTGCCTTGGCCTATTTTAAAAACAACTCCAATTTATAGATGATGCAATTGCTGCCACACGAATGTTCGTCATCCAGATTATGTCGCAATTGAAAATTAGCAAGATTAATCTGAAAGGCAACAACAATTTCCAATCAAATATTGAAGAATGCAATATAAGAAATTGAATTGAAAATACAAGATGTAAACAGTTAGCATTTGCATAGACCTTGAAACTCCTCAGCAAAATAACTTATAAGGAAAAACATTAAAAATCCAAACTTCGAAATCTGAAGTGATGAAAAAGCACATCGTTATATGTATATATGCAAAAAAATCTATCAAATAGAATCTTGAAATATCATCGAAGGACCAATAAAGTTTCTGATTTATCGATTTCAACCAAATCGAGGGATTGAATCAGAAGAGTCCATACTACAATGCTTGTTACAAACAATCATCATCTACTGGTGAATAAATATAGAATACCACTGAATACGATAATGAGTGATGTTTACGCAGGCCAAGTATGTTGCGAAAGTTTTGTTGTGAGAGAACACCAAGAAAAATTGAATCGAAATATCGCTGCAAAGAGGTTTACTTCTTTCGATGAGATATTGCTGTAAAAAGGAAATCTTGAATTGCGATAACAAGCTGCGAATTCGTAGAACAATTTATTAGCCAATAAAATATTCGGCACAATAATGTGAAGTCAATTAGTTGTGGAAAATATGCACTAACGAACAAATATAGATTGATAAATGATAAGTAACGGAAAAGCTGATGTTTCAGATAAAACAAACATCAGATCGATGATAAAGATGTCGTCTATGATATCATCTAGGACTATGAAAACCTAATACGTAATAGACAGATGGGTGGAGTTACAATGTCTCGGAAATGAGACAAAACAAACAGGAAGGGAATTTTCAACGAAATTTCCAAACGATATTGTAATAAGATGAGACACTGTGTAATGGGTCACTTTTGTATATTATCGTAGACAGATGACTTATAGAAATAAGAAACGAAGGGAAATTTTGAATGCTACAAATACAAATACACAAAAAAAAAATTGAGTAAGGCTAATTCGAATTTCTCGATAAAGTATGCATGATTATAAAGTTAATTTCAGCATGCATTTATTATAATATGGTTATTGAACTTTAAATGGATAATACTTGCTTCATATAAAGTTTTTAATAAGAAAAAAAAAACGAACAGTGTTAAGAAAAATAAAAATTAATCACACGTTTGACAGAAGAATATAAAACTATCAACTGATAATGTCGTATTTTTTCGTACTACCTAAAATTTAAAAAATAATCATTGTACTGTAATCTGTATATCAGATCTAAACGAAGGAAATATGACTATTGAAGGGAATGAATAAATATTTGAAAGAAATTTGAATAGTGAAAAAATATTGAATCATCGTGCTACTAATACAAAGATTTGCGATGACTTATTCAAGCAATCGTTTATCAATAAATAAGCTTACTTTGCGATATGCAAGCATTTTAATTAAAATAATAAAGAACAATAACACATGCCATGATTACTATAAAATAATTCTTCTTCCTGTGATAAGAATCCACGTAGAAAT